CCTGAGACTGTACAAACTAATTCTATTTCCTGCACACTGAAATTACAAACCCTCTTGATCGCATTAGTGTGTCAGCACAGCTTTTTGCTCCCACTCATCAGATTTTAGAGGAGATCCAGGAGAGAAACTGGTTGCAAAAATATATTTTAGTTACATTTTTGTAAAATTGTCACCATTCCTAAGTTGATCTCTTCCTTTTTTTTCCTGGAGAATGACATCTGGCATTCTTTCCTTTGAGCTTTGTGTTTGTTTGGCGATTATCCTATACAGTAGAAGCATATTTATGTATTAATTTATTTTTTAACTTATATTTTAGGAGGATTAAACCACTTGAGATGAAACGTCTCATTTTTGCAGGGCGTTTATGTTCACTGAGATGTGTTTTGTTGATTTTCACCACTAGATGGCACAAATCTACTTAGATTTGTCTCTTGATGGGTAGTTTGATCAGTGGGACTTTCTGACAAACTCACAGTTTCATTGAGTTGTGCATTCATTTTGGCTAGACGTGGAGGAGCCAGAGACCGTCGTCAGTGTGCCTGGTGTACCTGATGTGATGCCTGAAAGGGTCAGCACTACAGAGGCTCTGAAAGAAATGTTCTCATCTGTGTCTCTAATCCTTACTTCACTCCAGCTGGCCTATGGTTCCAGCGTCTCTTTGTTCAGTGGCGCCGTCTATGTTGTTTCAGATTTCAGGTGCTGCAAAGCTTTCTGTGTGACCCTATTGTGCTCGTGTTAGCCGTGATTACATCAGTCTGAGTGCACATAATTGTTTTCACTTCTTTATTTGGAGAATTATTTATCAGGTGAAAAAATGGAAGGCTTGTCATTTATAGCCTGCCTCTATATTTATGTGTTTACTGAATCCACTTGAGAGCCTCATTTTCTCACCCATCTTTCAAATAGTTTTATTCTAATATTAAAGCCAGTAATGCTTTGATGGTGACAAACTGAAAGTAAAATTTGAGATAGTTTTCAAAATGTCTTGAAACGTTTGCAAGGAGGCCTAATTTCTACAGGTTTGGTGCAGGGGATCGTTTTTGTATCATTTTTGAACAAGCTCAAAAAGGATTGATGGTAATATTACTGCAATACTGAACTTTAAATGAAGATCACGCCCTCATGCAACAGAGGGCGATGTCATGATGATGTTTGAAATATCCACTGAACCCAGGCCGGTGTCGGTACAAGATCTGCTCGGGGACCGTCGACTGCCGATGACGTCAAAGTAGTTGATTGGCTGAACATGAACCTTACGGAATTACGTAATCACGTTACGTTGTTGTCACGTTACGTTGGTCCAGGCAAATCTTTCTGTTGGAAAGATAGACAACGTTTACAAAGAAATCCATCATTACCTCTTTGAAAATACACTTTTAGCATAGAGCTGCATGTATATTAGGGCTGAACGATTAACTGCATGTGCAATTAAATTGCGATGTGACAAAATGAGATTTTCTAATCGCAAAGGCTGCAATTTGGCAGCCAGTGGTTAGCGCAATGCTAATATACTTGAAAAACCCATAGGAATGCTAATGCTAATATCACCGATTACATTCTTACAAATTATGAATTAGAAACGTGCCAAATGATTACATTTGGAGTCTAATAGAAAGTAAAACTACCATCAATCAAATAAGGACAGACAGGTATTTTAGTAAAGCCAGAAAACTTTTAACTCCAGAGTTTTGGCTAGCAGCTATGAGCGTAACTGAACTACGCATGGACAAGACATCAAAAACTAAACACAAAATACTTCAATAAACGGGACACATTTCTTTCATGCAAATACAATTTCACAGGTGTTGCTAATACCTATGATTCTTCAAGGGATGTGCTCAAAGAGGAGTTCAACATTATGAATAAGATATATAAGATATAGTGTTTTATTTTACAAATACCATTATAAACACAAACTTACATCTTAAGAAACATTATTTTAATAATGACACTGCTAAATTCTTTCCAACAGTATAGATGTGTAGTGTATTTTGTCCGAGTGGGTTTGCCGTACTTTGACGTCATCGGCAGTCGAAGGACCCCGAGCCGATCTTGCAACCGAGCAGATCTTGTACCGACACCGGCAACTCAAGCTAGCATTAGCAGTAGCTTGGGCTAGCGTTTTTCTGGCGTTAGCATCACCACCACTGTCTGTATATGGTCAATGTTGGGTTGGAACCAACATGCAAATGTAAAAGTGATGTGTCTTGCTTACGATATTTTAAACCCAGTTTTCTCAGAATGAAACATTTCTTTGTGGCCGTTAAAGACCAAGTACACTGCGAAACATTTTCACTTGTTTTTGAAATACGATCGGTCATTATGAGTTTAACAGGCAGCATGAATGGGAAATAGTCTTCTACACCTATTTCTTGCATTAGCATCAGATAGAAAATAGATGGGGAAAAGCTCAGAATAAAGTCCTGTTAGTGATCATCACACACTGGTGAAATTACATCTCCGCTTTTGACCCATTCCCATGGAAAGTGGTGAGCTACAGCAGTCGCCGCACTGTGGAACCATTTGGTGGTTTAACCCCCCCAATCCAACCCCTTAATGCTGTGTCAAGCGATTGATGAGGCATTGGGTCCCATTTTTAAAGTCTTTGGTATGACTCGACTGTGGATTTGAACCCACAATCTCCCAGTCTCAGGGCAGACACTCATACCAATAGACCACTGAGAAGGTAGATTAGAATTATATAATTAGAAAAGCCAGTCAGATCTATGTCACACTGAAAATTAGTATTCATGGACTTACCCATCTTGGCTCATGAAGGGGAAGGCTGTTGTTTTGCCGTCAATGAGAGCAGAGAATGTCTCAGCAAGTAGAAGCTAACTGTTAGCATTAGCGACTCCACAACACAGCTGGACTCCTTCAGGCTTGTGTTATTTGTGGAGATAAAACATCAACGTTGTGGTGTCAGCGGTAGTCACGTTGCTGTTAACCAATCAGAGGCGAGATGGAAATAAATCTCCAAAACCTGCCGTCTTGTGTTCCCCTCTCCTCCAGCTAACTTCTAGTTCCTGAAACGGCAGCTTTTGTCCCCACGGAGATTGACTCACACGACATTCTAATACTAAAGACCGTAGGAACACTGTACGTAGGAAAAGTTAGTTAGTACAGACTTTCTGGTACATCAGACACCCCAAGCTGCATAACAACAAGGTAAATGTGGATTTGAATTCTAAAACCACTTCACAGAAACGATTTTTGATTGCAAAATGTTTATGCAATCTTTTGTCTCCAGCAGTTTTGGCCCACTGAGATGAACTTTGCAGAAGATTACAGTGAAATGAGTCTGTTCCACTTGTATTTACTTGTCTTCACAGTGAGTTTCAATAGCTGTCTGGATCTTAACTTCACTGTTAAGAATCATGCCATCATTTCTAGCTCCTACAGGGATCTTCAGATCAAAATGTATCTCCAGAAGCCAACACACTCTAGTAAAAGCGGCCACAGTTTGTCTGCATATGGAGCAAAACACATTTTACAGGAAGTCAGATTTTCCTTCAGGCAAAAACAAATTAGTGTAAATATTGGATTGAAATCTGTCCGCTGGAGTGAAATATGAGTGAATGAATTCTGATGTTGCTCTGAAATTGCCGGATGTGAAAAGAAGAATTTTAGCTGATATGTTGTTTGGTGCGCAGTCGGATGAAGATCAGATTATTCTGAAAGACGGATTTTCTTTTGATCCTGTTATTGAACTGATATCCCACGTCTGTGTGTCACATTGGTGTAGACGCTGTGCGTGACATCTCCTGTAGTTCTCTACTTCTGTCTAAACCGGTCCTGAAGCCTCATTCATCAAATGTTCATAGAAATATTCCCAAAGTCGTTCCGAACGAAATTTAGAATGTTCGTACAAACAGTCAAAATCCTGATTTATGAAACATGCGGTGGGCTCTCGTACGGGTGTTCCTTCGCACTCGTCTGATGATAAATCCCACCTGTGGGTACCCAGGTACTCGTGTGCGTTCTCTGACATTTACATACAAGAACGCCCTCAATTAACCATATTTGGTCATGCTACGTTCTCAGCACGTGAGGGGATACCTTGCGTTCTACCCGGAAAAAGAAAACTTGCGAGATCAAGACACTGGCTGCCGAAGTGCAAAAGAATCAAACACTTTGCAAAGGTTATAAGTGCGGTTGGGACTGAAGAGAGGTTCCTTGCAGGAATAAATATAAACTTTAATATGATAAATTGTAGAGTAATGGGTTGTCATTTACATTTAACCCTCCCACTGTCCTAATGGCTGTGACCCCGCGAGGAAAGTTGACCATTGAGTAGGGTTGATGGTTTATTCTTTGGGTCCATGTGGCAGGGGTGAGGAGTGAGCACCACCTCACCCCTGCCACGTGGAGCTCAAGGGGTAAACCATCAATCCTGCTCAATGGTCAACTTTCCTCGCGGGGTCACCCATAAAGAGCGGGAGGGTTAAGGAGTCGTTCTGGTTGGAGTTGGTGTTATTTGGAAATTTCTGAGTGCAGCCTCTTCAAAGCTGTCATTCAGTCTGGTTACCTTGACAATGTTTAACAATAATGTTTGTCTTTGTAAATTGGAGAGAGTTATATAAAAATGATCAATGTTGCATGGTGGCACACTTAAGAGCATATAAATCCATTCAAATTTAAAAGGCAGCTTCATTTTAAGGTTCGGCTTGCTGAAGCACAAAGAGGCTAATGACTTGACCTCAGTCCCATCTGGTGGTTTGCTTCATCTTGTGTTAGTGATGAGCTGAGAAGGTGGCTCATCATTTGGTTACCAAGGGAACGCCATTGTTAAATGAAATGGGCATCACATTTTCCACTAAAACACAATCTTACTTCAGCATAAAGTTTCTCCTGACTGTCGGAAGATTCTTTAAATATACTTTGACTCTGTTGCAGTTATTAATTATTTGATTTTAAAGGAACACGAAATTCATAAAATTGCTTAATTCTTTTGTGTGATCATACCTGTATCTGTGTCCTACTTTTTCCTCTCCGTGCAGGTGGGCTGTGGAGTGTTTTTACTTTGGGTGGAGCGGGCAGCAGAGCTGGAATAGACCAAGAAGACAACCCTTTACCTTTGTCCAATCAGAGTCTTCTGTTACTGCTGGTATTAGCCAATCTGACAGATGGGCCGGACTGGCCGAACCCTTACCGCCAGGCTATTACTTGTTTCAGAAACACTCAAGGTAAGAATCAGTGCACAAGAAGATGTATTAAAGTAGTTCCAGACATTTTATTTACAGCCTATGTATAAGTTGTACCAGGTGCTAATACATCAGCGTTGGTCGTCTCCATGCAGACACGTCGTCCCTGACTGTGGAGCCTCCTCACACCTTCCAGATCAACTTCAACAGTCTGTACACGGCCCTGTGCGAGCAGCAGCGCTCGGACCAAGCCACGTTACTGCTTTACACCCTGCTGCACCAGAACGCCAACATGAGGACGTACATTCTATCAAGAACTGACATGGACAACCTGGTGGGTGGGCGTGGGCACTACTCTTGATTTTACTGCTGTTGCTGTAGGCCATTTTCACTGTTAATAATCAGTCTTTGTGGTTGGGTAATGATTAATTTAATTATGCAGGCTGTAATTTACTCAAAGATTCTGAGACTATACTTCTAATAAATTCTCTCTGACTTGTTTTCAACATACCATCGTTACCAGATTTAGGTGAGGTTTGCTATGTTAATGATAACAGCTATGGAGTCCAGCTTCAGGCCTAAAACATCTGAGCGTTAGATGAACTGGAAGCAAAATGTTAAGAAATGAGGGATGTTTAAGACATTATCTGATCAATGGCTGATTCATCTTCGGTTCTGTGTTTTAACACACCGGTGCTGATCCTAATCCTGCTTTCTCTGTCAGGTGTTGCCTATACTCGAGATTCTTTACCATGTAGAGGAAAGAAATTCTCATCATGTCTACATGGCTCTCATTATCCTTCTCATCCTCACGGAGGACGACGCCTTCAATCGCTCTATCCATGAGGTGGTAAGTAGGCACACCGATCAGCTCCCGTGAGAGAAACGATTCGTTATTTCCAGTTGCTGAGATTCGAGTCAATCATTCCTGACGTTTTCAGCAGGCATGCGTCACTTAGTCTCCCTCTTTGTCTCCCAGCTGTTGAAGAACATTTCATGGTACACAGAGAGGTCATTGACAGAGATCTCACTTGGCAGTTTGCTCATCCTGGTCGTCATCCGTACCATCCAGTTCAACATGACACGAACAAGGGTAAAGCGAGCGCTCATGCATGCGTTCGGCTTATTGATTCACAGATGATACAGCTGTGAGTTGGTAGTAGTTAGCATTCAGCTTTCCTTTTTGTGTTCTTGCCTTCTGTGCAATCTCTTAGGATAAATACCTCCACACCAACTGTCTGGCTGCGCTTGCCAACATGTCGGCTCAGTTTCGATACCTCCACCAGTATGCTGCCCAGCGCATCATCAGGTAAGGACACACTGGGAGTTACAAATGTCCGAGCAGAACAAACAGTGACCCAATATGCTGAGTGATCATATTCTATGCAACCTATCCCAGAACATTCTCGCAAATATAATATGTGAACACCAAAATGCAAAGTTAAATACAAGGGCAGCTAGCTAAAATCCATTGTTGTTGTGTACATTATTTTTTTGACATTCAAACTGCTTCTTTGCTGTTTTGAATTACTTTACAGACTTTGTCCTTTTCTGTGTTTTTTATGATCATATTTCAAGTTTCATTCTGTTAGTGATGTTCAAAGGATAAAAAAAATAAAAAATATAGTTTTTCTTTTATTCTCTTACACCTCTGTCAGTGTTGTATTGCTTGGTTCTTTATTTAGAGTTCTATGGGGTTTTTCACCACCAGTTGTAATGAAGCATTTCCTTTTCATCTTGGGGCAAAGTCTTCTTAAAATGTGTTTATTAACTAGTATTGCAAAAAAGGCTGACGTAAAGGTTTATAAAATAACATTTGTATTAATTGTTAGAGCTGTGCTTGGGCTACCCACTAGCTCATAATTCACGAGAGATAACTATTTTTAAGTTTTACTTGAAAACTTGTTTCAAAATAGTCAAAAGTTGCTCATTTTGGGACACATCTTGTATTTAAATAAAAATTAGCTTATATTGGAAAAACGATCAAAGTAAACAGGAAATAGTGTCTTTATTAAAAATGTTGAATAAAAATAATATAGAGACCAAACGGAGGCTGAGAAGTGTATCTCCAGTGAAAACCATTACATTTTGTGTTGGAAATTAACAGACCCCCCCCCCAATAAAAACACACACAGCAAGAAATTATGTTTACTTCTTTGAAGACGTTAGCACATTTAATATCTTCTCATCTCACTGCCTGTGTCTCTGTCTATAACTCTGCTGTTTACAGTTAGAGAAGAACACAGCCTCTGTCTGCGTGGTGGACTTTCCTGTCCAGTAATCGTGCAGAGCAGCTGACTCTGTCTGCTCATAATGATGATGATGGTGATGATGATGGCGGTCAGGGCAGGGCTGAATTAGTTGTCTCGCTGCAAGATAAAGGGAATTTCCTGCCAGGGATTTCCAAATGTCAGCTGAGCAGCTCTGAACTCTGGCTGACAGCTGACTCAGATTGTTATGGGTTCTGGTGGTTTACAGGCACCAGTGGGTACATTTAAATGCCTCCATCACAAGTCCTTCTGATTATTTAATATCCATCCTGATTCTCCCAACTATGTTTATGATCTTTGTTCACATATAATTGTGAAGTTTAAGTGTGATATTTTAAAAGAATCCTTAATGCTCATTCACACATTCAGTTTTTTTATTGCACTTTTTTCTCCTTTTACCTAATATTCCTTCGATACCTTTAGCTTTTTTGCCATTGTAACTTCTATCTGAGAAAGAGCTCCCAAAACACCCAGTCTGTTAATCATCTGCTGAAGGCACATTATGTAAAGTGTACTAAGATTGTACTAAGGTGTGCAAAATTGCACTAGAGGTGTACTAAGTTGTACTAAGGTGCAGTAGAGGTCTACTAAGGAGTACTGAGGTTCAATAGAGGTGTACTAAGATGTACCGAGGTGTGCTAAGGTGCACTAGAGGTGCAGTAGAGGTGTACTTAGGTGCACTAGAGGTGTACTAAGATGTACTAGTCTTGATGCAAATTTATCACAATCTGAGGATAAAATTTTTTGTCTCTTACAAAGTGTTTCATGAGGAGTCCAAGCGGTGTGTTCTGTGGAAGGAAGTGGCTTCCTTTTGTGCTGACTTATAGTTTCTTTTTGCTTTGCCACATTGATCAAGTCGTTGAACAAAACATCAAATCCAAATGCCGTCGTCGTTGTCGTCTTCCTCCGCTTATCCGGCTCCGGGTCGCGGGGGCAGCATCCCAACTAGGGAGCCCCAGACCGTCCTCTCCCCAGCCTTCTCCACCAGCTCCTCCGGCAGGTCCCCAAGGCGTTCCCGGACCAGATTGGAGATGTAACCTCTCCAACGTGTCCTGGGTCGACCCGGGGGCCTCCTGCTGGCAGGTCATGCCCGAAACACCTCCCCGGGGAGGCGTCCAGGAGGCATCCTGACCAGATATCCAAACCACCTCAATTGGCTCCTTTCGATCCAGAGGAGCAGCGGTTCTACTCCGAGTCCCTCCCGAATGTCCGAGCTCCTCACCCTATCTCTAAGGCTGAGCCCGGCCACCCTACGAAGGAAACTCATTTCGGCCGCTTGTATCCGCGATCTCGTTCTTTCTGTCATTACCCAAAGCTCATGACCATAGGTGAGGATTGGGACGTAGATCGACCGGTAAATCGAGAGCCTGGCTTTCTGGCTCAGCTCCCTCTTCACCACGACAGATCGGCTCAGCGTCCGCATCACTGCAGACGCTGAACCAATCCGCCTGTCGATCTCCCGATCCCTCCTACCCTCACTCGTGAACAAGACCCCGAGATACTTAAACTCCTCCACTTGAGGTAGGACCTCTCCCCCAACCCGGAGTTGGCAAGCCACCCTTTTCCGGTCGAGAACCATGGTCTCAGATTTGGAGGTGCTGATCCTCATCCCAGCCGCTTCCCACTCGGCCGCGAAATCCAAATGCATATGAGCAAAACAGAGAACGAATAAACCACACCTTTAAAAATATTACTGGAAAATCATATGGATCTCTTCTGTTTTGTTATAGATACACGTTAACTGAAATAAAAATACCATATGAATGTAAACGTTGGCGTTTTAAACAAGAACTCAAGATGAAACATAACTGGTGGAGGGAAATCATTCAGCTCTATTAGAAAGGTCAAAACCAAATAAGCTGCACCAAGACCAATCCCTTTATCTTAAACAAGTTAAACAGGACACACGTTTCTAACAACAATAAAGTATGTTCTAGTTTTTTTTACATCCTGTTCATTACTAATGGCTATTTCAACCTCCTTCTCTATACTTTATAAAACTTCAGAATCCCTCTCCGAGCTGGAGTCCCTTAAAAACTGAAACATAATTTATTTTATAGGCATAACTTTTTAAAAGTAAAAAGACATGACAACTTTTTGAGCAGAACCTCATCTGTCTTTAGTCGTGACTGACTTTCGGATCTTAGCAGCTCCTCCCAGATCTGTAGAGTATCTGTTACCTGGACTGAGTCCATCGTTGCCTCAGCATAGATCACAGATAATACACTCCAGCTAGTCACACTGCTTTATTGTGTTAACATCCCAGGTGGACCATGGTTGGTGGTCTTTCACCTGAGGTAGAAAACAAATTAAACCTTCAAAATTAGATTTGAGTTGACAGGCAGACCTCAGCGTAGCTGTTCTGATCCCTCCTCTTGGACACTCACTCTAAATCAGGAAAGCTTTAGAATTCCAGTCCTGACAGAAGAGAATATGAAGAAGTTGAAATGATGTGCACAAAAAACAAATCAGCAGAAAATAAAAAATGGCTTCTTTTATAAATACTAATTAAAAAATACAAAAGGCTCATTAAAACGTCTGATATGAGAACTGGGCATTTATTAACAACAACTTGAGTATTTTGTCAATGGAAAACAGACTAATTTGTGTGATTTTATCATTAATTAGTATTCATTATTATTCAAAGCTTCATTTAGAAAGCAAAACGGCTCAGTTTGCAACAATTTTCTGTCTAATATGAATTTTTATTTTTGTTAAGTGTTTAGTACAAGTCATTATTTTCAGGGATAATTTGACATTAATTGCAGCATTTAAGTTTTTTTTTATCTTCACTAAAGTCTGATTTATCAGTAGTTGCAGCTCAGTTCTCTCATCTGTGCTTCTCTTCCAGTTTATTTGCTTTGCTTTCTAAAAAGCATAACAAGGTTTTGGAGCAAGCAACACAGTCTCTAAGAGGCAGACAGGCAGACAACACAGCCTTGCCTGACTATGTGAGTACCACACACACACACACACACACACACACACACACACACACACACACACACACACACACACACACACACACACACAACACACAAAAACTTGCTCTCGATGTGCAATATGTTTATTGATAGCTGCCAAATGATGTCTACATGGAGAGGGAACAGGAATTTGACATGGGTATTTGTGAAACTTCAATTAGAGCAAGGTTAGATGCAGTTAAATTTCAGACAGTTAGTTCTTTTTTTAAGTAAATAAAAGCTTTAAAAATTATTTTCACTCGCAGCTTAATGAGAAAGCACCATTGTGTTATCAAATAGTTTGATCCTGCTTTTTTGTCGACTTAAAGCTGAACAATGTCTTGTGACATTTTACAGGAGAGGAAAAAATATTTTGTTTGATGTTTGAATATCATAAATATTAATGAGTAAGAATCCAAATTCCACCACCTCTCCTCCCACTAACTTGTGCTTCCTGAAACAGGAGCGTGAGAATTTTTTTCCCCAGAGATTGACTCACAAGACACTATTGCAGACACATTTGTGGAAATATCAAGCCCAGGCTCACTTTAAATCTCCTAACTTTCCTAGTTGTTCATTGGTTTTTTTTCTTCTTTTTTTGTTAGAGTTTGTGTTAGTGGTTGTAAATATCAACATCAGGTAAATATAACATTTCTAGGGCTTCCTGGTGTCACGCCTGGAGGGAATTTAATATTTATTCCTAAATAAACTCGTACAAAATGATGATGAAGGTCTTTTAAGATGGCTGTGATACTTTGGTCTTGGCTGCATTTGGACTAGCCGTTAGCTCATCAGTACTGCTGGACAAAAATGTAAAATCTCTGAAAAGATCATTTGGGATGCTACTTAAAAAGGACAAGATAGTAACTATTTTCCAAACTGTATCCTTCTGACTCGTCTTTTTTCATTTTAGGAAACATCTCATTTATGTTGTTTCCGACTTTCTCAAATGGCTAGTTTTATTAGTAAACAAGGGAAAATCAACACCACTGACCAGTTCCCCAAATACCTCTAGAACACATAAATGCATAGATGCATGCGGTTTTTCAGGTCACTCCGCTCATGAAGGACTCCGGCAGATGAGAACATTCTCTTGACCATAGACGGATATGATTGTATTTCCTGCCTTCAGGTTTTTCTGCCTCTTGTCTCATTGCATTTGCAAGGACCTATTTGTCTGTATTTGCTAGTGTGTTTGCTCAAAGCCTTTCTAAATGCCTTCAGGTGTTATGGAAACATGAGTGTATGTGAGTGCTCCTTCAACTGTGCAGTGAGCATCTGATGAGGCCCTCCTACAAACAGATATGTGCACAGACATAAACACACTGGCAGAAAACACAGAAATTCAATTAGTCAGTTTTGTTTTGATGCCTCGTCCCTTTAGGGCTGATTTTGATGCTCTGTTTTATTTACATGCATGCTTTACTGCACGCTGAAAATGGAGAAGAATATTTCTCCCAGTTATTGAGTTTTTCTCCAACCGAGATATCAGTTCAGCTGTCTCTTCCCACAGAAAAGGGACAACGTGAATCCATGTCAAGGAAGCAAGAAGTCAAAGTGCAGGGTCACACGTACAGTGACGCCTCATGCATTTGTCAGAGATTCAACGTGTTGCTCAAGGGCATGTGGCACATTTTCAGCATATTACACGGGAGTTTTGTAAGGGTTTTCTTTTCCTTGAAAAGTGTCTGACATCCAGTCTGGGTCACAGACGTTTGAGACGGAGCTGATCGAGTTTTCCGATACAGCTGTTATCCTTCAGCTTAGACTACACTAACCATACGTGGCATTGGTTCCCATGTCTACTATCCACATCCAGAGGCAAACTTTCAGCTTTATTGACATCTTTTGATGAAAAAGAACATGCTGTGTTGTTTGCCCTTAGAGCTTGTGCACACAACCTTACACGCACGCACATGTTGATATATAAATTGACTTTAATTATGTCTCACTTTTAGTATGTTTAACGACATGACGCTTTTAGCTCCCCTAAATCCCAAAATGCATCCATCTTGTTATAATAAATCCTGATGATTTGGACCAAAGCTTCTGATCTGTTTACTTATTTCAAACACTGTGATTCTGTTTGGATAAAATCTGTTACTATATCCATCTAGCTCATAGAGCTAACACTCTAACCAGTATTTTGCCCAGTCCTGCATTGTTTTCACAACTAACACTCTGTGTTCAGGCTCTGTTGGTTACACACATGTAACGCTAGTGTTTAGGATGGGGAAGGTGCGCTAACCCAACTGCTGCCAGTGGATGGGATGTCTGGCAATTAGAATTAAGTTTGGCTACGGAGTCAAGCAAGTGTGAATAAAAAAAGGACTGAACACAAGAGTGTATGCTTTAAAGAGTGTATTAAAAATATTAAACAGGAAAAATATATACACATCACAAAACCTAAATAAAAAAATATGGACAATGGAAAAAGTCATGTACTATATGCAAATAAATCTAAATGTCACTCAAATCCCTCCTTCCTTTAAGTCTCAGTCCACCATTCACGAATCAGTTCGGCATCACAGGGTGCATCTCCTGTAGAATCAGTTTCGATAAGTTCAGGTTCTCTTTGGGTGGCTCACCATCAAAGGGGGAATTGAGATGGATCCAACCAGAGGAAGGGACTCTGGGAAGATAACTCAGGAAGGAACCAGAAATAAAACTACAAAAAATAAAACTGACCTAAAGTTAGAACAGAGAAAGACAATTAGCATACACAATATTTACAAGAATATATACAAAAGTGCAGCTTCAGTTTATCAATATGTAAACAGGTTCATTTAACCAGAATGACGTCATTTCTCATTATCTACATTTTTCTGATTATCAAATGTATGAATAAAGGACTTTTCAGTACACCACAAAGTTACTCAGCTGATTTTTATCATCAGAACGGGATTATATCAATTATCAAATTACGGTTTTAAACTTGGTCACCCAAAAACATCCCAACCCACTAATCAGCAGTCCGACTGAGGTGGTAAGTAGTGAGAAAAGAAAAAAAAAGTACTACCAAAGAGCAGGCACACAACAAAACACCTTTCAGGTTGAAAATGGCCAACTGAATCACACACACCTTATCTCAACAAGCAGTTGCATTCTTGGAACAATATTGGGATTACAGTCATGAGAGGATTCATCTCACTTAGCTCTAGGCTATTTGTTTCTGTCAAAAACAAAAATTCAGAACAATCAGGGGCCTGCACTGACAGCTGAAAGCAGGTTTAAAGTTTGACGGGACAACACTATCAGAGCAGCGTCTTGCCGATAAAAATCTGTTTTAATAGGAGCATTGATGCCAGAAATGCTCAGTCTCTTTGGCGCTGCATCCAAACCCTCACTCCCCTAACAGTCATGTGATGGTGACATCACACTACCCAACAGTCTAAATCACTTCTTTGGGCAGTTACACAAACAAGCAGACCAGTAAAAAAAGGCCACCTCTTCCTGGGTGAACAGGCCCTATGTCTAGTCCCAGCCGATGTAATGAGAACCTTCTCTAGGGTCAACCCACGAAAGGCACGAGACCAGACCATGTACCATGCTGAAGAGCTCAAAGATGTCCTACTGACATCCTAAACATCTCCCTGGTCTAAGTTGTTATTGTTCCCACACTCTTAAAACCACCACCATAATTCCCATCTCAAAAAACTCCCTCCGTTCAGCTATAATGACCATCGGCCCCTAGCACTTAGTTCCACCAACATGAAATGTTTTGAGTAGCTGATCTTGCAGAACATTAAATCCACCCTCTACCCCACCCATGACCTGTTCCAGTCTGCATACAAGTCAAACAGGTCTATAGAAGACTGCATATCTGCTGCTATCCATCCAGCCCTCACACACCTGGACTCAGAGGACTCTTCTGTGCAAATGAAGTGCTTGGATTTTAGCTCAGCATTCAACAGAAAAACTCCAGCAGTTAGTGCAAAATCTCAACCAGTTGGGTCTCAGTACTTCTCTCTGCAAATGGGTGTAGGACTTTCTTACTCTGAGGCCACAAAACGTGCAAGTCAGCAATAACTCCTCCAAGAACTTGTGCTGAGAACCGGGGCTCTACAGGGATGTGTGCTCAGCACATTGCTTTTCTCCTTGCTGACCCATGACTGTGCCAACCTACTGCCCTGACCATATTATCAAGTCTGCTAATTATAGAATCGAACAGTTGTTGGTCTCCAAAAACGATGAGAAATGAATAATAAATTACCTGCACTTGTGTAGCACTTTTTTGAGTCAGATGACTCCAAAGCACTTTAGACTACAGTGACTCATACACACACACACACACACACACACACACACACACACACACACACACACACACACACACACACACACACACACACACACACACACAGAGAGAGAGAGAGAGATGGTGATGAGTTACACCATAGCCACAGCTGCTCTGTGGCACACTGACTGAAGCAAAGCTGCCATACACAAGTGCCACCGGTCCCTTTGATTACCACCAGCAGACAAGAAGGGGGAAGTGTCTTGCCCAAGGATACAACAGCACAATTCCCTGGAAGGGGCTGGGATCGATCTGGCAACCCTTAAATTTCTGGAAAACCCACTCTACCTCCTGAGCTACTGCTGCCCTGACAAAAATAACTACAGGAACGAGATGAACCACTAGCCCAGTGGTGTAAAGGTAGCAGTTTTTACCTGAACTTGGACAAGACATAAGAGCATATGATTGACTTCAGGAGAGGTCACTTATGGTACCCCCCACTGACTTATCGACAGAGCAGCTGTAAAGAGCGTAAGTAGCAACAAGTTCCTGGAGAAGTACGTCACATGGTTACATGCGTATCTAAGTCAAGCTAATACTTTAGAGTGAGAGCCTTTATCTTTGTTTACATGTCTGTTAGAAAACCGGATTATTGAAAGAAGTACACTCGACTTTGCAATGGTAGGTGTCAGATCTTTTCATGTAGGTAACCTTCTAGTTACCCAATAGCAATACACAAATGATAATGAAA